GACTGACTGACCTTCATTTCTTAAAGTAATGATGGCCACTCGTTTTTCTTTAGTTAGCTGATTGGTTCTTGCCATAATATGAATTTTAACAGTTGTCCAATAGGGCTGTCGGCTGTGTATTAACCTGACTTCTGCACAACACAACTGATGGTCCCAACCCCATTGATAAAGCAAGAAATTCCACTAATTAACCCTGATAAGGCACACCTGTGAAGTGGAAACCATTTCAGGTGACTACCTCTTGAAGCTCATGGAGAGAATACCAAGAGTGTGCAAAGCAGTAATCAGAGCAAAGGGTGGCTATTTTGAAGAAACTAGAATATAAAACATGTTTTCAGTTATTTCACCTTTTTTTGTTAAGTACATAACTCCACATGTGTTTATTCATAGTTTTGATGCCTTCAGTGAGAATCTACAATGTAAATAGTCATGAAAATAAAGAAAACGCATTGAATGAGAAGGTGTGTCCAAACTTTTGGCCTGTACTGTATGAGACTGTCAGGTTTGGGAGGGACGAGCAGCAGGTGGTGAGACCTGCTCAGTTTGGTGTTTGGAGAGCCTGAAATGCAAGATGTCGTATCTGTTCCTACTGCTGCTGGTTATGTGTCTTCTTCAGTGCAGTAAAGGTAAAAGTTTTTTTTTTTTTTCATAGTTGTCAGGAGGCATTAAGAGTTTCTGTTTCTAAATATGAGGAATATTAAGATTTATTACTGCTTTTTGTAATCAGTCGGAAAAAAACTTTTTGTCTCTGCATTGAAGAATGTCACTATTCTTCCATTTAACTACTCTATTTTGCAGGCCAGCTGCATTTTTATAATGGTGATCATCAGGGTTGGTTACCTGCCAGTGTGGCTGACGGAGCCAAAATCTGCTAAAAATTTTATTAGCAGCTTGGATGGTGTCCTGTGTTAACTCTCCATAGCACAGACACCAGATTTGCTAACAGAACCAACTTGGCTGCACGTGCAAAGCATGCTGTTTTATTATGTAATGTGTTTTTAATCTTTCCAAACAGCTGCAGGAAAACACTTGCTTCGCTTTTTGACTTTCTGTCAGAGGGACGTGAAGGATGATGGCCAGTACGATATTGAATTCGATGGCGATCAGCTCCTCTACGTCGACCCTGTGACCTATCGGGCGGTGCAGCGTCTGCCAGAGTTTGCAAAGCACTTGATGATTGATTTTGAAATGGCCAGAGACACGTACGTGTCCCTGGGCAACTGCAAGTACAACATCCCACGAGCCATAAAGGGAGAAAATTATCCTCCAGAGGCCCTTGGTAAGTTTTTACTGATACAGAAAAAGAAATATACAGGAATAAAATAAAAATATCAAATTGCAGGAGTAAAAAAACAAGATCAAATTAAAGTAAATGTCTCTTGCTTACAAGTGCTTACAAGTGAAGAAATCTGAAATGTATCTCAGAGCCCCAACTCTGCTTTTCTGAGAGAGGCCTCGAGCCCAAATAGGTTAAGAACCCCTAGTTTAATCTTTGTCAATGTGTTTGATTGTATAAGCAAGCAAGCTGACTTATAACTACAGCTGTCAAGTAAATATTGTGGATTAAAAAGCACAAGAACTCCCTTTGAACTGTAGTGGAATAGAAGTAGACGGTAACCTAAAATAGAGTACAGAAAATAAGGAGGATACAAGCACTGAGTCCAGTACTGTAGTAAATGTATTGAGTTGCTCTCCACCGCCTGCAAATAAAAGCAGTTTAATGCCAAGAACACAGCAAACATCAATAAACAGCCAATAAAGAGTCGCTCTGCTGAGTTTCATCTCTCTAAAAACTAGATTACAGCCTAATCTTAAGAACAAAAGTCAGTGAAACTACTGTAATGGGAGCAACAGTAAGCTGTGTTGTTAAACACAAGTTAATGAGATGAGTGCTCTGGTGTGTATTCTTAAGAGAAGAACAGGTACCAGCAGAGAAAATCTCTGTGAGGTGCAATTAACCTCTCTGGGTGTATAATCATGCTTGTATTGTCAGTGCAGGTTAAAGCGTCTGTCACTGTTTGTTTTGTAGCTCCGCTCCGGGGAGTTTACTTTAATTAGCATGTGTTGCATGATACTGGCATGCAGGCTTGTAGTCAAGACCACCAAGACCGAGACAAAGTCATGACCAAGACCAGAGTGGATCGAGGCCGAGACAAGACCAAGACTTTGAGGGGTTGAGACCAAGTCGAGACCAAGACCAGTCCAGTTCAAGTCCCACACTGCATGACACAAAAACACTAAGGAGCTGAAATCAACTGAACCATCTTTATTCAACGTTCATTTTTTGCACAGGTGATTTAGTGAGCTCCCCACGGTTGTGGTCTTGATGGTTCTTGAGATACAATTTGAAGTCCCCTTTGTCAAAGACCGAGATAAGACAGAGTAAAAATATGTCTGAAGACTGGACGGAGACCTTCAAACAGTGGTTTTGACATCGTTCTTGAGACTAAGATCATTCTCAAGGACTACAGCACTGCTGGTGTGTGTATCTACAACAGTCTGCCTCTTGTTTGGGAATTAATGACACAGAAACTATTACGGAAATGCAAGTGGTTGTATCACTTCATATTTTACATTTCAGTTCATCTTAAACTTTGTTTGCCATGTCACAGACATACCAAAAACGCTTTCATTTTGGGATGATTAAAACCACAGCCCATAATTTGGCACTTGACCCACAACCCTGTTACCAGAAAAATACTTTGGCATGTTACATTTGCGCATTATTTTGTAGTGGATACATACTGTGGTTGACATGGTTAGGTTTAGGCACAAAAAACACATAGTTATGGTGAGAAAAATATCATGTTTGAGCTTTAAAAAAACTGTTTTAGTGGCACAATCACTGCTAAGTATCTCTGTAAAAAAACAGCTTTTTGTGGCACTCTTCTCGATGGAAGAATAGTGATGAGTCGCTAAAAAACACCCACGTTTGGTGGCTAAAAAGCAGCTGGAATTGGTGAAGATTTGCTAAGAAACAACCCATTTTGTTGTTTGTTGGTCTCAAACAGTGGTCTGCAGCTTGGCAGGCATCTCGCCTTGGTGACACACCATCCACCATCCCCTCTACCTCCCAATGACAGTCAGCTCATATACTATGTCACTTTAGAAACGTTGATATGATACGTATGAAACATACAAATATAACGTATGCATGGTTTGCAGAAATGTACACTGCCAACATTTTTTTCAGGCAGCTTGGCTGTTGATCCATTATTAAGATGAGTGAGGCCTTCACATGAAAATAGACATTATGAACATAAAACAGACAAACAAGGCAATACAGTGTAAAAGGACATTTAAAAACAGATTAAAACAAGGACTAACTGATTCAAAACCATGAATCTTAAAATCATAAAGAAATCATAAAATGAAATAATGCATAAAAAGTCATAAAATCAGTAAGTAAGATACAACATTAAAGAGTTGCAGCAGCATGAAGCTAAAAAGAAAGAGTTTCAGACCTGTATCAGGAAAGTCAGAGCTAGTTAAAGTCCAAAGTGAACAGGTAAGTTTTTAACTTTCTTTTAAAAATATTCAGTGAGCTAGCCTACCTGATATCTACAGGTAGTGTGTTCTATAGCTTTGGGGCGTAATTGACAAACGCTGCATTCCCGATCTTCTTCTGGCTGTTTCTGGGAACTTCCAATAAACTGGCAGCAGATGATCGCAGCGTTCTTGAAGGCAAATAGTCAACAAGGCAGTTAGCAATGTAGCTCAGCCCCAGCCCACAAGGAGGAGGAGCTTAAAATCAATTCTAAATGTAATGATAATGTATCAAATGTCATTTTGACAACAATGTTGGCGCTCACACCCACAACTTTTCTAGTTGGTTCACTCTCATCGCTCTCATAGCGTTGATTTCCGTACATTATTCTATGCTTTCTTTTGATTTTCACATTGGCTAGTCATCCTGTTTAATTTGTCTTCTGATTAAATCAGAACCGTTGAAACAAGTTGTAGGAAGCCTCTGCAAGTAATTGGTTGCTGGCAGACACTCTGTGCTGCAATAAAATGGTTAATCAGCAGTGCCGTGCACTGTAGAGCTGATGCGCTGCTGGTTCTGCCGGCCTGAAGAATATAATGTCTATAGCCTTACTGTTGTGTACAGCCTTATAGACTGAGCTGAGTAGTGATGCACGGGTCGACCCGTAACCCACGGGACCCGCAAATGGACATGTGGGTCGGGCAGCAGTGATCGTCTGTTAAATCGGTCTGTAAATGATGTTTTGACATTATTATTATAATCTATTAATCTATAATCTATTACTGTCATGGCATCTGAAGGTACTGATGCATTGAGCAGGTGACAGTCCGCGGCCATTTTCAAAACACACGTGTGTCACGCACTCCAAAAGAAACTTGTTGAAACTTTAAACAATAATTTATTGTACAAAACGGGGGAAACAAACGTTGACAAAAACGGTTCTATAATTCATATTAAATTCAAAACATAACGAAAAAACAGCTACAAGTTAGAGGGAATAGTGATAAAGTTGTAAAACTTGGCATTGATCCACAGCCTCAGACGGATGCATTCAAGCGTGCCATGCACACAAGCTCAGGTGGTAGGATACTATATTTTCACATTTTTAACAATGCAATTTAAAAGTTTTGATTTTTATTGATAACCTACATTTACCAACAACAAAAAGACTACATTTAGCACCAAAAAAATGTAAAAAATAAATAAATAAATAAATAAAAAAACGAATATCGAATACCAAATTTTCATAACGAATACCTACCCACAGAAACGAATATTCGAATATCCGAATATTTGGGTACAGCTCTACAGCAGACAGACACAGTTAGTGACCAGGAGGTGAACACAGTGGAGCATTTAGCAGCTAAAGAGTCAGATATTTCCCTCAGGAGTTGGTAGAGACCAAAAACAGAGCTAAAACAGAGTGAGTATTAGAGTCACACTCAGCAGGTGGCCAAAAACATGACTTCTCATTGCTGGATGTGTAAATAAGCAGCGGTTTGCTAACAAATTGACCATCTTACCGGCTCACCCTTTTTCCCCTTTAGGGCGACTCTTTGATATTAGTAATGGCTTTGGGAAGGCTTTAAAAAAAAGAATGGTGTACAAGCCACTAGTAACGTGTTTGTTTTAAAAGTAGTGTTCACATACTTTTGTCTGAGGCTGTTTTTCATGTTTTGGGCAATGTCCTTTAGTTCCAGTGAAGAGAATTCATTTGTCTTTCTCTGTCAAACACCATCCATCCATCTGCAGCCATTCCCACCTCCATGATCTACCCCAAACACGAGATGGAGCTCCAGGTCCCCAACACACTCATCTGCCACGTGAACAACTTCCATCCACCTACAGTTGCCATAACCTGGACCAGGAACGGGCAGCCGGTGGACGAGAGCGAGGTCAGTCAGACTCAGTACTACTCCAACAGCGACTTCAGCTTCCAAATCTCGTCCTACCTGTACTTCACTCCGCAGGAGAGCGACATCTACTCCTGCAGCGTGGACCACATCAGCCTGCAGGAGCCTCTCACAACATTCTGGGGTAGGTCAGTCATGATGTGACGAATCAGCGGGGTTAAAAGTCACAGAGAGGTTTTTTTGTTGTTTTTGATGTGAAAGAGAAGAGCAAAGAGGTGAAGATGTTGCACTTGTGAAAAATGCCTAAGATGGAGCCAATTACAGCCAATACTGCTATGGTCTGTGCCTTTAAAATCATAAAAGTGGTGTTCATTTGTGAAGATAATCTTGCTTAACAAAATTAAGTGTCGTAAAGTGTCGTGTTTGCCACTGAACTTTTTTCTGCGATAATCCAAAATCCAATGGAAAAATCCTAGTAGCTTTTTGTCGAGGGAACCACGGCAATGCTAACTTCCACGCTGGCCTACAAATAAACATCATTCCTGCAGCACCCTGTATCATATCGTCTCATCACATGCTCAAATAGAAACTTAAGACTGGACAACATCAACATGCACATCACTCAGCAATCATCACTGTAATCTGTATATGACAAGAAATATCAAAGAAAATAGAAATTATTGATTTAATTGAATCGTTTTTACAGTTTATTTGTAGTTTTTTAAATAGTTAATGTAGATTATGCATAAAATGTTGTTATAGATTGCTATAGACTACCATGAAAGAGATGTGTTTGCCTTGTCGAGGTCACACATAGCAAATGGCACCATTCCTAATTTAATGCAAGTTATTTTTTGACCTCTGAGGTGGCAGTCTGAATCATTCACAAGGGCCAACTCAACATATTGTTGTTGCCTGCTCTTTCTACAGGCCCCTCCACCCCAGGGGCCCCTGTGTGTTCACACTGCCTGCAATTCCTGTATTTACACCTCTAACTCACATGTAGCAAATGTGACAATTAATAAAAAAAATGTGTTCACATCTGTAGCCACACTTGTGCCATGTCTCCAGGGATGGCAGTGTCAGTGTGCCGGTTGCTCAGCCGCTACAGGTCTAGGCTGAAATATTAACAGCCATTGGGTGGATTGCCATTAAATTTTCTTTCTATTTATCCATCTCCCTCTCTTAAACATGTGCAGATAGTTCATGTTTTACTTTATCCATTGAACACTGGATTGCTGCTCACATCTGAGCACATCAGAAGTAGCTGTTACGGCCAAAAAGTGAAAAATAAATGTGACTTTTAAATACACCTTTAGCAATTATTACCCACTTATGACAAATTATTATAAATTGTGCATCTGTAGTAGAAAATAAGGTTTCAGAGATTCAGGTGATAGATGGTCATTTAGGGCTTTTGTTAAATATTAAGTATCAGCAAGGGATATTTGGCAGGGTATTATTGGCTACAAATGTTGGCTACAAGCAGCTTTAGTAACAACAGAAATCAGCTTTCATAAACTCCTTTCAGTAAAACTCCAAGGCTCTTATCTATCTATCTGTGTGTTTTTCCACAGAGGTTGCAGTCCAGACAGACCAGCAGGTTGTCGAGACGGCAGTGTGTATTGCTGGTGTGATCCTGGGGCTGATTGGAGTTGTCACAGGACTCTGGTTCATCGTGAAAGCCAACAAGTCCTGCCAGGCGTAGCACGCATCAAGACAAACACCTGAATTTCGATGTCAGATGTGTGATAGCCTTGATCTTTTTTCCTTTGTGTTTCTCCTCTGGGTGTGAGGTGGACTGAGATTTCTTTTTGTCCCCACTGTATTATCTTATCTTTGTCTGTTTTTTTTGTCCATCTGAAACACTGAATGTAAACCTGAGCTTGAACCACATCAGTTAAAGGGATAGTTTGACATTTTGACAAATACCCTTTTTTTGTTTTGCTCTCTGTCAGAGATTTAGGTGAAAGCATTAATACCACTCTCATGTCTGTACTGTAAATATAGGCTTTAATCAGGAGATAGTTAGCTTATCTTAGCACAAAGGCTGGAAGCAGGGACAAACAGCTATCCTGGCTCTTATCCAACAGAAAATCCACCTACCAGCACCTCAGCCCAATACCCTGAAAATATGTTAATGGATACGTTACATACCTAATTATGTAGCAAATATGTCTCTTTACAATTCAACAACGCTGTGGTTAATTTGTGGTTAGGTTTAGGCATAAAAAACACCTGGTAATGGTAAGGAAAAGATCATGTTTGGACCTAAAACACAGTCTTGATTGCACAATCCCGGCTGGAGATGCTGTTGATGTGTGGGCAAAAAAACAATCACTTTCCATTGAACTATCACTGGTGGAAAAACAGCAAAAGGTTGCTAAAAACCACCCATGTTTGGTGGCTAAAAAGCCACTGGAAGCAGCAGTGACTCGTTAAGAAACAGTGGTATGCAGCTTGGCAGGTGTCACACCTAGGCATCATGCCATCCACTATTCCCTCCACCTCCTGATGACAGTCAGCTCATAAACTATGTCACATTAGAATTGTTGGTATGATGTGTATGAAACGTGCCAATGTAACATATATGTGGTTTGCAAAACCGTACAATGCCAACATGATCTTCTGATGAATGGGCTGAGCACTTCTAAAGCTCACAAATTAGAGAGAACTATTTCAGTGTGTAACTCCCCGCAAGCATACGACATTCCTCTGTCCTTGGACCCTCAGAGTGGATAAGGACCCCCCCTCCAAAAAAAAAGCCTTTACCAGGGAAAAACTGGTAGAAACCTCAGGAAGAACAACTGAGGCGAGATCCCTCTTCCAGGAGGGACAGATGTGCAATAGATGTTGTATGACATAGCCTTATAGTTCATGGTCAGATATGAGAGTGGTATCAAGTCTTGAATTTCCCAGAATGTTAAAATATTGTCTTAGAGGTTCATTGTGTAGGATTTAGGCAGATATATTGGCAGGATTGGAATATAGTGAGCATGATTTCTTTTGTTAATCACCTGAAAATAAGAATTGTTGTGTTTTCGTTCCCTCAGAGTGAGCTGTTCCTACATAGGGAGCAGGTTTCTCCAGTAGCCCAGAAAGGACCAACCAAACACTAGATTGGGCCATTCGCATTTCGCATTTTGGCATTGTCGTGTCGGCCACTGTTAGTTAGCAGCCCCTACGTGACAAACAGTATCGGAAAAACATTTTTTTAACGTGAAACTGCTTTATTCAGTGTTTTTACTTGTTTAAATCACCGGGTCTGTTTGTTTTTTAGAGGAAGAGACCTCTGCAAATAATTCAGCTCCTGGTAAAAACCTCCTGAATGTCGAGCCCGGTCTCACTCCGACGTCGTCGAAATCCTGCGCTTGCGGCGTCAGAAACCAACGAAAAAGGCGTTCTTTAATGTCAGCATGATACCCGGCCGGTTGCTGTTGTAGTTTAATGGCACCCGGTGGGACACGCAGCAGGACAAGGACAAAAGTTAAGGTGGCGAAAGTCCGACTGTGGGGTGGGCGGGAGTGGTGGTGGACGGGTCCAACAAACACCGACTTTCACCCCTGGAGAGTGGTGTTTGTGCCCCGATTCTAAATCCAAACCCTGTTCTTTTTTTCCTAAACCTAACCACATGCGTTGTTGCGGTGTTGTACCAACGTAGTGCGTTTATTTTGAAAGAGATTGTATGTAAACATTAAATTTCCTGTGAAAGCAGAAGTGTATTTTGAAAAGAAGACAATGCATGAAACAGGCAGAACTTGACACGGCATCCCAGAACATCAACAATCAGTGCACCCAGGGTACCTTGCACGTCGTATGTGGACGTGGAAACTCCATGACCAAACGTCAATATGTGACGAGGTCGGAGTGAGAATGTGTTGGAATGTCTTGAGCAGAAAAAAGGTGAACACACAATAAGTTCTCAGAGAAAAAAGGTGCACGCATGTTAGCAGGTGTTGGGGAAGCGGCCTGTCTGCAACATGCCAAATAGCGTAGGAGAAACACTGATTTTTAACATGAAACTGCTTTATTCAATGTATTTACCGGTTTTAATCACCTGGTCCATTTGTTTTGAAGAGGAAGAGACCTCTGTGGATAATTCAGCTCTCTGTAAAAATCTCCTAACAATGAACACTGAAGGAATTCTAACTGGGTGAAGTTTCAGGTGGTTGCAATCTGCAGTCCTCACCACTAGATGCCACTAAATCCTAAATCCCCGAAATCCTGCACACTGGACCTTTAAATAAATAGAAGAATCTGTAATTTAGGCTCCATTTGCTATTCTAAATTTGAGAAAAATATATGTAGAAGACTTGACATGACACAGATAGTCAAACCCATCATTTTTACAGTAGAATATATTTATTTTTCTAATCCCATATAAGAAAACAAAGAGGCTTTACTAATGTTTTGCCACATTGAAGCGCAGTATCATGTTGCTGCTTGTTGTGTTTTTCATGTTCACATAAAGAACATCAAGGGAAGTTGAAAATGTCTGTTCCTGTTTTGTACCGCATGTCAAAATACACGCAAAGCACACTGAAACAAAACAGAACAGTTCCCTTATAGTCTTGTGTTTATTAACCCGTCGCCACAGCAGCCTGTGTGAGAGCACTGGCACCTTCAACAAAGTCACCATCAATTATCACAGCACAGACTGAGCTTTTGGGCATGTTGCTGCTCCTGCAGTGACATGAATGAGGGAGTAAATAATGTTTGTCATGTCTGCTTGCTTGTGCGTTAATACTGGCACCGAATGGCGATGTGCCAAACTGCCTCTTTTCTCTGCAGGTTTTATTTGGCTCTGGGCTGAATCTAATTATTTTCACTATGGTAGATAAGATAGCTGCCACATTTTTTAATATGCACATGTGTGGATCTCAAAAACTGACAATACTGCTGCTTTGATTCTGCAATAAAGGTACATATTCAGTGGTGAGGAAACATTCATACCTTGGAGAGAGAACAATGCTGAATGAGGAGTTAGTGTTAGAAGTTAAAATGCTGAGTTTCCCAACAACAGGCATGGTAAAAATAAAATGACCACGTTTCTGTTTTCCTCATTCACATGCAGCTTGGTTGTGGTGCTGAGATTTATCTACTATTAACGAATTCTAAGCATAAAGACAAAGCCATGACTGCAGCAAAAACCTGAAAGACCTGTTCATCTCCGCACTGCTCTTGCAATAGCATTTGCATCATTTATTTTATGAGGTGGCAAGATGCAGTTGAGCTTTTGAGCTTGAGAGGTTTTAAGAGCATGATTGAGTCTGTAGGCGTTTGCATGCGGTGATGGTGTAGTTTTCAGTGTTCAAGAGACAATGGGACTTTTTGTTCTGATTCAGCTCACAGTCCCTGTTGTTTTACTCCACACTACACCAGCAGGTAGGTTTCATCATGTGCTCCTGTTTATTTTAGCTTTAATTCACATGTACTTTTTTACCGTTTATGATAATTTAATGAATGGAACAAAAGGTTGACAGAATCACAGACATGCTTTGCAATGCAACACGAACATTTTACTGTAAAACTGAGTTTCTGACGCTCATATTTTATAGATTTTTTTTTGTTGTTGAGACCGGGAGAACTTGTTTTAAGAGCATAGCCTGTTAAGTGCCACGTCACACTCATTTTGAGGTGCAACTCTGTGGCCTATTTGTTCCTTTGTACATTGCCCTATGACATACATTCTTCCTCTCACATACAAAACTGTGGCATTATAAGCAATAAAAAGCACCCATACGCAACTCAATGCACCCATACGCAACTCAATGCACTCTGACTTTTACTGCTACAGCCTTGTTGTTCGAACAGCAGCTAAGGTTAGAAAATGTGAGATAGGAAGTGCTGCAATTGACATAATTGATTCAGTTTGCTGGCTTCATGAGTCGTCTCTATGTTTCTGATGCGCAAAATTTTATCATTCACCACTTTCCTGTCAATGTCACTGAGCAAAATTTGCTCTCTTGCTTTAACAGTCAGCTGTGGGAAATTGTAAACGTCAGATCTGAATTAAAGCTCACACATTAGGCAATTGTTTTATCTTGGTGTGACTGTTATTGTGATTTACAGTTGATAAAAGTGAATAATTTACATTTAATTTCCTGCATTCTGGTGAATTTTTGTGCACCAATTTGTGCCATCTCTGGATCTGTGTATGGTGTCAATGTCTTTAGTAATCATCTTAGCCCTGAACTTTTGTTTGGTTTGCATTTTTTAATTTCTTCTAGCTATTTGGGATCAGTAGGACCCATTAACTTTAAAAAACTAAACATTGTCAACATTATTAAAGAACCAATGTCCTCAAACGAGATGATAATGAAGTCCCTATGTCTTCTAAGGAATACTCAGCAGCGTCTATCTTATTACTGTTGCTAAAATTGGTCGAATTTGTTGCCATATCAAACCACAAACATTATTAATCATAAACAAACAAGTTTCAACCATAAAATGTGTCCAGGTTTTGGACCTTGTCCACTTTTACTACCACTAGACGCCACAGAAAAGTGTCCAGGAATGAGAGGTCTAAGTTAAGTAGAATGAAGTATAAGATCAAGTAAACCCAAAATGTGATGTCCTCATATGAGGACACAGGGTCTCAGGAGTATATAGTCAAGTAAAACTCCTCTGCTACTTTCATGTTTTTATTGGAATGGAAATCTGAACCTACGTGTCAGAGCATGCTGAACAAAACCCCTTAATATGAAGGATCTGATGAGAAGGAGAACCATCAATTTCTCCTTTTGCACAATGAGTCTTATAAGCTGCACAGTATGTTATCTTTCATGTTGAATAGATTAAAGGCCATGATAAACTGTGCTGTTCTATAATTAGCCTGTTGATGCAGAGCGATCAGGTTTTGTAAGTGGTGCTCTTAACCTGGTACAATAAGGCTTTTGTTCAGCAAATGTGCGGTACAACAAATGATTGATATCATCACCACAGTCATCTGTACTAACTGGTTTTCTTTCTGTTCCAGGTGGATATGCATATCAGATGATATATGACTGTGATTATAGTGACAACATCACAGACGTGGTCTTCTTTGTGAAAAACATATTTAACTAGAAGATTTCCACCCTGTATGACTCTCGGGTTGGGAAGTATGTTGGCTTTGGAGCGTTAGGCATGAAGAATGCAGCCCATTATAATGGCCAGGCTTGGAAAATGGAAGAAAGAAAAAGACAAGTGGAGACTCTTTGCAGATACAACGCAAGATTATTCAGGAGGAGCACACTGGATCGAAAATGTAAGTCTGTGTGATTTCTACTTGAGGAGCAGGACATTAGGCTCCTAACAGTGGCACTTCATTTGGCTTCATTTGCTTCATTGGAAAAAGGAAACAATTGTTCTCTCCTTGTTCTTTAATTAAATGGCTTGAAGAAAACTGTTTAGCCCCTGACTCACTCCTCTGCGCTCCACATCCAGCAGGTCATTCAGCTAATTTTTCCCTCTAATCATTTCTACACTCCAGTGCCTCCAGTCGTCAGGGTCCATCCGACAAAGCCAACTGACTACGGGAAGCGGTCCATGCTGCAGTGCAGCGTTACGGATTTTTTCCCTCTGGAAGTGAGGGTGAGCTGGCTGAAAGACGGGGTAGAGGTTACCAGTGATGTGTCTTCTACGGATGTCCTGGCCAACGGGGACTGGAGCTTCCAGCTTCACGCTTACCTGGAGCTCACACCCAGAAGAGGGGAGAGGGTGAGCTGCAGGGTGGACCACAGCAGCCTGACAGAGAGCCTGGAGGTGGACTGGGGTAAGGATTAGTCTGGAAGAGAACACATGCTCAAAACAGTGACTCCAGAGAGAAGCAGACAGAGGGGTCTACAGTCTGTGTTTGAAGGATATATCCAGGATGTCAAACTGACTCAGCAGCAACAACAGGTTAAAAAGACAAAGATAGTTAGAAGCTAAAGCCGAACTATAGGCTACAGATCACAGTGTAAAAGTGAACCACCACATCACTGCTGATCGCCACACAAGACAATGAATATAAAGGGAAACTTTGCTGATATTGAACCAGCTGTGTGGCATCACAGTGTGTGCAGCACTTGGACCTCCGCTGCCTGACGGGCGGGGAAGTTAAACAATGCAGCACACACTTCTATTGGGTCATAAATGATACTTGGAGACTCATAATTATGAACACGACATACTGGCTGTGACAGGGAGTTAGGTTAGGTTTCTGTCTGGAGTTGGTGTGTTGTCATGAGCTCTCTCTGTCCCTCCCTCTAGTTGCAGACTTCCTCACTTCCCCGCTGGTCCCTGCATTTTTATCGAACTTTCCAAACCCGCTGCTCTCTCCCTGTCCAGCCGTTGCCCCTGGTGTGTTGTTCCCATGTTTCCACATCACCTGATCTCCACACCCACCTGCTCGCCTGCTCCTCATTCCATCATTAGTCCTTACGCCAGCCACCCAGCGCCTACACCCTGCCAGGCCGTCTATTGTGCCCCCTGTAGCCATATTGTTCCAGCTGCTGTTTTTGTTTGGCTGCCTGCCTGCTCCCTTTTTGGATTTGTTTGCCTTTGCTGATCGACTGCTTGTTGTCGACCTCTGCTTTGAACCATGATTCAAGCTCCATTTACCTCACCTGCTTTCTCTGACGCTTGCTTTGGAGTCCAAATATCTACTACTAGAGCTGTTAGTCTGACTGACAGATATTTTAAGAACAGCAGTGAACAGCGGGTTCGTTTACCAGCTGTGTTGACACGAGAGATTTGTAAGGAAAGCAGAGTGGGAGTCGAAACTGAAAAGATGAATGTGAGAGAGAAGGTCATCCGTAATGAACTTTTGCAAAAAGCCTCGTCAGATGCAAAATGCAGTTGTGGTGGAATTCCCTTCCACATTTAGAGGGACACTTTATCGTGTCCTCTTCCTCTCCAAAGTTGTGTGATGCAAAATGTTCACTTCTAATCTTATAGAGTAGAAAGAAAAGTTCACTTAAGCCCTCAAATGTGTGTCTGAGCAAACAATTAAAAAGTGGACTGGTGTGACCATGCTAGCGAACAGATGTTATTTGTTTTATATCGCAAGATAAACTAATTCCATTCATCTAAGCATTGCTTGAGGATCATTAATTTATCCTCCTGAGACCTGATCTTTTGTCTGCATTTTCGGTTTCTCCTAGCTATTTTGGATCACTAGGACCTGATAAGTGTAAAAAACAGTTGTTCTAATTATTGTAAACATTCTCAACGATAATTAAGTCCCAATGTCCTCAAATGAGTACTTCCTAATAAAGAGTCTTGAGCCCCTTTTACACTGCCAGATTTTCCGTGAATGTTGGGCAGATTTGCCAGCAAGCTGCGAGCTTTTAGACACACAGAGGTGGATTGGCGAGTTGATCCGAGGTGCCCAATTTTCCGCCTCGTAGGGTAGTCGTATTGGCAGAACATTTTTGGTTTAAAAAGAACAAGGCGGCCTTCCGCAACAGGAGGGGCTGTTGATGACTTGTGGGAGGAGCTGTTGATAACGCTGCACGTGCGACCCACTGGCGGTGGATAAACAGGAAACAGCTGATAACAGGAATGAGCAGCTAGTAGCAAGAGGGAAACACAAACCTGACAGACACTGTAAAGATGAGCAACTGGGGAGACAAGGAATTGCGCGCCCTCCTTGTCCTCGCAAACAAAGAGGCCATTAACCGTTAGTTGACGGTAACAGTAAAGCACGGGCCGACTTACAAGAGAATCGCCAAAGGACTGACCAGTCGCGGCTTCCCTCATCACATACACTGAGCTACATGTCCTACACTGAGCTACACGAAAAAGGCACATTCTGTATGAACAAAAGTAGGCAGGCGGCATTTTGCTGCACTCCCCAATTTTGTTTTTATACTGCTAATGCTGAACGAAGACTGATTGGGCTTTCCTGCAAATTTGCACAATTCCTATTTAAAAAGGGCTATAGACACAGATGCAGATGCAGATACAGATGCAGATGCAGATACAGATACAGATACAGATGCAGATGCAGATGCAGATACAGATAATGGCATCTCTGTAAACTTCTCTGATCTACTACAGGATCTGTGAGCAGATTAAGTTTTCACTGTCATTATTTCTCTTAATCACCTTAGACACCTCCTCACTGGATGCTAAACACCTGAAGATGGCAGTGGGGATCATCTTCTTCTTCATCGGCCTCACTGTCGCCGCAGGTGGAGCAGCCTACTATTGGAGGAAACAGAGGTGCGTTGACATTAATGAGAGTTCACTGGATTCATCATTACACTGTAAAACTGGTATAGTTAAGGTATGAAATAAAACAGGTCAAACATCTTTGAGTCATCCCTCAGAATTTTGAGGTTTTAACAGAATAAGACATAATAAAGCTCTGCTGTAGATTTAAATATGAAGTATTAAAGCTGATGACCCAAAGCCTGACCAACAGAGGGAGGAGAAAAATGGCACTGTGGGAAGATGACATGCTGTTGTTTTATTATGGAGGTGGCCCCCTGACATGGCAGAGCTCCTCCTTCATCATTTCTGCCAACCAAGGACTCAACTGACACGTTATCCTTCAAAAAAAGGAGCCATACATTTTTCCAACGTTGTGTTCATTTTGTAGGATTAAGGTGTCAGACCTGTCACTTACAATAACTGCCTCACCTTGGAAGAAGACTCATCATCTTTACATCACATCAGTATATATTGGCTTTATATGATGCATTTAAAAAAAATTAATCTTTAATTAGAAACTCAAATTAAACACAGAGAATACTCTAATAATAGCACAACACAATAGTGTCATGTTGGTCAGCTTTAGTATTAAAGGTCCAGTGTGTAGGATTTAGAGGAATATATTGACATGTTGCCCCACCATGTTTCTACAGTAGCCCAGGACAGACAAACCAAACACTGGCCCCAGATTGGACTATTTGCATTTTGCCGTTTTCACCACTTTAATAAGCAGCCCCTCTGCAACGGGCTGCATCAGGAAAAACGCTGACTTTTTCAATTTAAAACTGCTTCTTTTTGTGTTTTTACCAGTTTAAATCACCTGTCTCATCTATACAACAGTGCATAGGATCTATATTAATAAATGTACGTACGGACAAAAGCCAGTTTCTACAATCAGGCTTCCACCTCACCATCTATATTGCCAATTTCCCGTCTCCTTAATGTTCGTAAGCATGGGTCAAAATTTCTCCCTTCAAGTTTAGTTTTATAGATCACAACTTTGGCGTCGGAAGTGGCCTAGGCCTCTTTCAGGCCTTGTTTTGTGCATACACAATGTTTATAATTGAGTCCCCTGGTCCACTTGTTTTAGAGAGGAGAAGACCTCCGTGGATATTTGGGCTCCCCTTAAAAAAAACCTGAACATCTAAATCTTAAGTTATCAGAAAAAAAAAGGTGAGCACACATTAGCAGGTGCAGGGCTAATAGTTGCTGATTTGTAATGTGAAACTGCTTTATTCTGTGTTTTTACTGGTGTTAATCATTGAGTCATAATTTGTCTTAAGGCAAAAACCTCCTGTACATGTGGATCAGAAATAAGGTGAGCACACATTAAGTTATCAGAGAAGAAAGGTAAGACTACATAGCAGGCGCTGGGCGAACGGCCCAAACAGCGAAGAAGAACAAAGCACCTCTGCGGATAACTCGGCTCCTGGTAAAAACCTCTCGAACGATGAACACTGAAGGAATACTAACCGGGAGAAGTTCTGACTGGCTGCAGTCTGCAAAGTCCCTAAAATTCCCTAAATCTTACACACTGTTTAAACTTAAGTTTTAAAGTATCTGTTACACAATAATGTGCAAATGTAATGTATCTGTGGTTTGTGCAAATGTACAACGCTCACATTTTTCCTGGCAATTGGGTTGGAAGAGGATGATATGAATTCAGGGACAGCTTTATCAGTGACACCATAATCTGAGTATAAGGCTGTTTTCCTTCCTAAAAATGGACTTTCTCAGTTTCCAGTGATAAGGAGTGATGTGTCCACACATCCCTGTGAGACAAAATAAACCCTTTCTTCTAATCTCTTATTTACTGGCACTGCACTTCTCAATCTATACACTATTATTCTGATACAACAGTGGTCCTTGTGAAATCGATTACAAGACTTCATAACTTGTAAAAGCTTTTGTTGCTGCTGAAACTTATCTCGTGGATCATGTTTGTAAAGTAGTGATGTAGACATGTTAAATTCTTATTAGACTCACTGCATGTTGTAATGTAAAAGATGAATGGTTTGAAGCCTAACAGAGGCCCCATGTGTCTGTGAACTTCAGTGAGAAAAACTTTTCTTTCTCCAACACCAGCTGTTCAATCCCACGCCACTCTGAGACTCTGTAAATGATTCAACCTGATACGAGTAGTCTATTTTGGAATTGACTGGGAAGCTATAAGAGCCCAGAGCCTCAACCCCTGGTACTTGTTAGTTGGCATTTCAGAGTGAAACACTGACTCACTGCTGTCAATATGGCAAGTCTTTTCACCGTTGTGGCCATGCTGGCCGTGTTGTCCAGTGGGCTCTGTGAGGAAAAAACCTTTCTGCAGCGAGCTGGTGCCGCCTTTAACAACAGAGCGTACAGCTCTCTGCTCACTGTGAATAATGGAGAGCAGTTTGGAAACTGGACCTGGCCTGAGATGTGTCCTGACAAGTTCTTTGCTGTTGGATTCAGTCTCAGGGTAAAGACACTGACTCTTTCACGTATTACGAATTTCTGCAGCGAGACAAAGAGAAAAACTAACACAAACAACAGGCAGATATTAAAAAGAGAGATGTTAAGTCACACATTCATAGCTCCAATGCATTTATTTCTGCTTGTAAACAGGCAGGTGTTAGCAGCAGTCAGATCAATCAGGTATCTTCTAAAGTTGCAATCTTTATTCCCTCCTTGTGTTACTATTCCTCCACTGAAGAATGGCAACAACACTGACAGGTAAACGGCATTAAACCCATTTAATTTTGCTGAAGCCTCATATTAATTTCAGCTGAAGTTGAGAACGCATTTTTGCATTTGCAGTGTGGATTTTGTCCACCATTGTATATTCACAACCAACAAAGAGAGGAGGAAAAATTACAGAAACCACAAATTATTTCAATGTGAAAATATGAATAAATCTGAGTATAGTTTGTGTAATTTGAAAACCTGTGAACCTATCGTTTAAGGTTTCTTAGAGGGGTTTAATATCTGAAGCTCCAGCTGCAGAAACACACAATCTTGACAGACCTGAGAATACAGCATCTGCAAAATAATCCTTTATACATGTATGTGTGACAACTCTCAGTCGCTGAGATGAACTCTGAATGGAAAAAGCCTTGTGTTGTCTCAAACACACACCTCTCTGCATAGATGACAAACACTCTGCACAATCTATATTTTCACTTGACGTGAATGTCACGACAGATTCGCTTCACCGAAATAAGATAACAAGCTGGTTTGTGCAGAGCTGCTTCTGGGAACTCTTTTCTGTTTCCTCAGGTGGAGCCTAACCAGTACGGGGCAGATGACACCGCCCTGAATGGGATCCGCCTCATCTGTGCCAAAGATGGGAACCGAAGCTTCCTGTACTCCATTGAATCCCACACTGGCTAGTGAGTGGCTCACAGTGATACCACTTAATCCTTATGAGGGAGACTTTAGAAAGGGCTCATAACCAGAGGTGGGAAATGTTAGTGTTCTGCAAGTCACTAGTCACAAGTCTTAAGTCTTGGCAGGTCTCAAGTCAGGTCCCAAGTCCTGAACTTTGAGTTTCAAGTCCTTAACAAGTCGTAACTGGCTTGTCATCAAATGTAACGCCATTTTAACAGCAAAGTAAGAACATATAAAATTGTATTTAATTGCTTATTAAAACAAGTTGGAGGTTGCATCTCCATCTGTAACTCCTGACCTGCATGTTTTGCATACAGCAATTCGGTTTTCATTGTTATTAGACCATCTATTTAACCATCATAACACACAATAACCATTAATAAAGCCAACAGTTGGGCAACACGTGGTGCAGTGGTTAGCATTGGGTGCCTGCTTCCGGCTGCCTCCCACAGTCCAAAGACATGCAGGTTAACTGGTGACACAAAATTGTCCATAGGTGTGAATGTGAGTGTGAATGGTTGTCTGTCTCTATGTGTCAGCCCTGTGACAGCCTGGTGACCCCAACGGGATAAGCAGTTACGGCAAAAAAATGAATGAATGAAAATCATAAGTTACAACTGCCCTTGCTTTAAAACTGAGTGGCTGTTTAAGGCCAGATACATTTTTCATTGATCTTATGTTTCCTCCAAAATCTAGGCCTCAATATGCCGCAGCTGATCACATGAGTTTTCTTTTGAGGAGCCAGTATTCAGTAGGAGGGACTCTAATGTTAGACAGCAATGAACACATCAATAGAAATGCTTTCCTTTGCCCCCTCTGAGCGCGTCTCCCACTTATGCTGAAATGTTTTTATTGAAGTCTTTAAACATGCAGCTGTTTGTTGCTGTGGCCAGATCTGTCTGGTGTAAGAGATCCTTGATCTCAGTGGGACTAACCTGGCTGTTCTATAAAGGTTAAATTAGAATTATATAAATAAAGTAGACACTTTGAAAGCAGCAGGAAGCTGCCGACTGGCAGTTTCCCATCATGTTCAGAGGGGAAATGAAAGCGCCGCTTCTGCCAGGATTGCAAATTAGGTGTTCAGATGTTGAAATGTCTTGACTTCCCTCCAGTGTTTCCAGCCCTCATTTTGGATCTCAGCCTGATTTTTTCCCCTGTCATAATTCTCTTGTATTTTCTCCACCCCTGTCCAGCTTCGGTGACTGGTCCCACCCCCAGTACTGCCCCAGTGGTATGCTCACCTCTTTCCAGCTCCGCGTGGAGCCCCATCAGGGTCTGTTCGGTGATGACACGGCTGTCAACAACATCAAGTTCCGCTGCAGCAGCAACCCGACGCTGGAGGGGCGTGGCATGGACTGGGGAGAGTACGGCCACTGGAGCCAGGAGTGTCAGGACGGAGGAATCTGCGGCATCGAGACGAAGATGGAGGAATACCAGTACGGCCTGGACGACTCCACCCTCAATGATGTGCGCTTCCACTGCTGTGCCAAGCCTCAGCAGGTAGGACAGAGGATTATATAATAGAAACCAAAACACAAAAGTGGTTGAGGGGTTAAAACTACAGTTGGTAACTTTTAATAAAAATACATTCTTGTTAAATATAATGAAACTGTCACTATAGCCTGACAGGAGTACATGAGACAGGAAATCCATGAAAAACATCATATTCCTCTGCCTCCTAGTAGTGCTGCTAATGGCATTTGCAAGAATCTACCCTAAAATAGATTATCTTAGATTATTTTAGGGTAGATTATTATTATTATTATTATTATCTAGCCCTAAGACCTTACCTTAAAGGGAAATTTCGGTTTATTTCAACCTGTCTCCTATCGTCCTAAATTTGTTTCAAGTGACTAGTGACATAAAAATAATAGTTAGCATATTAGCCGTTAGCCTAGATACAGCAGGGATGCATAGCAGCGTCAGACCTGTTAAAACGTAATTGAACGGGCATCCCTTCAAGTGCAAAGTTAGTCCACTAAACAAGCTTTTTTTCCACAAAGACCGCCTCATATCGTTAGGATAAATGTCAGAGAACATATAGAAAACGACATGTAAACGTGTTGTCTTACCTTACCGGTGTGCTGCCATGTTTGTTTACCATCTAGCTCTGCTTTACAAAGCGCGGCCGAAATATATCTCGCCAGCTCTAGATAAAGCCCAGCTGGATACTAACGTTACTCCAGGTGGAGGTGTCTCGTCCTCGGTCATATCCAGACCTTGAAAATAAGGCTGTAACCGGTCCCATTCTTTGCAACAGAGGCATTCCTCTTCTGTGGGCACTGGGGCACAGCATTCACAGGTACACCACCAATCTCCAGAGCTACGCAGCCTTGCAGCAGCCATTCCTCCTCTCT